TGTTATTTTTCTTTCTCTAATTTTTAAATTGGAACAGATCGCAAAATGATGTATTTAATTAAAGATTTATTTCCTTCAGCATTCATTTCTCAAAGCACAAATGTCATTAGAAAAATAGTCTATTCAATGTCGCTCTCTATCATATCCATCACATCTGGCATTATAGGGTACGTTTGCGTGAGTCTGGGCAACCTATCGGACGTCTGCGCAAAACATGTAAAAATGCTTTTCCTCGTACAATTCCAGTCGTTGCATAGACGTTGCATAGACGTTGCTTTTTTGGGCGTCTGGACTGCGAAGCAGTCCTCAATCCCATATCAGGACATGTCTTCGATGAGGGGCATGGCGAAAGTGGTGTTTTACGTTCTGCTGAGTGGCATGATGACGATTGGCTGGACGATAGGATCCGGGAGGCGTGGCTACTGTGCTTTGTCGGGATGGTACAATTCCAGTCAGTTTTGGTCGACTCGATACTCCTATAGCTACCGAATCTAGCTTGAATGTACATTTTTTTTAATTTCCACGTTAATTGTAATTCACGGTAATTAAGTATTTACGGCAGTAAATTAAAACAATATCATACATACATTTTTAAGTCGTAAGCAAACATTCGACCATAATAAAGAATCAACAAGTACACAGACGAACGAGCATGGTTCCGAAAATTAAATCAAGGCGATCTTCTCAAAAATACTTAAATTTTGGATTTACCACTACTGAAGAAAATGATGGAAAAAAGCCCCAGCTCGATATGTGTTAAAACTTACAAATCTGTAGAACAACATGTGAAAGTTGTTTTTAAAACATGTAAAATCATTTAGCTATGTTGGCAAAGAATTTTAAAAAGTATTTTCTGGATGAGGACAGCTTGGTAGCAAGTTACGAGTGGATTAGGGATCTATTTCAAGATACTCCAGAAGGGCTCTCAACTTCCGAAGAAGAAATCTTCATAGATTTCACATGCAGTGAAAAATTAAAAGGCAATTTTGTAATAAATCGCTCTTTGAATTTGGGGTAGAGGTGGATGAGGAATTATCTGTACTGAAAAACAAAAGCACTTCGTGTATACTATTACCATTTTCAACATCCTACCTTTTGCAAACCGGATTTTCTGCAGTGGATGCCTTGAAGACAAAATATAGATCTCAGCTAAATATAGAAAAATAACTCTTTAAGTGTCAATTTCTGATATTAAAACCTTCCTTTGAAAAACTTTCCTCTACAAGAAAAGCCCGTGAAAGTCCCTAATAATTATTAAACTTGTTCTTAATTTAGTAATAAGATTGATTGATTGAATATTAACGTCGCACTGTTCAGCTGCACGAGGGCTTTGACGACGGACCACGTAATTTTGAACCATGGCTCAAGTGACGTGGATGACACCTGAGCTGGCACCCCCTCCTAACTACCACACCACACCAACGGGAGGACGTTTCAGCTCTCGACAGATTTAACGTGCAACGCTGCCCTACACGGCGGGTCTTTAGTGGTACTGGGCTCGAACTCGTGACAAGGCAAGCCACGATCCGATACCTATACCACTCGGCTACCGCGGCCAAATTCAGTAATAAGAAATTATTTATAAAAATACCTTCTTCAGTACTGATACATCAAACGTATACTGGCTGAAACACCGACTCTTCGCACGAGTTCATTTTTTAAAAAAAATAAAACATTATTCTTGATATAATAGCTGAACTGTAAGGAGAGTAAAACTGTGTGCACAGACACACGACATTGTATACAAAAATGTAAAATGATTTTTTTTTAGATAAATGCTATAATTGTAAATAACTGTTTAAAAGAACTGTAATTTTAAACCTCACACAATTAGCATTTAGAATTAATGTTAAATTATGAAAAAGAATATAAAATTCCGATGAAGAATAATTGTGTTACTTTTTAACATTTAAAGCGAGAAGACTTCAAAAAGTTTAACCCGGGAGCAGGCGCGTACTCGATACTAACATTAATGGTAGTGCGGGGACTCAGTCACCCCAATCATTTGTTTAGAATTATTTTACTGTACACGATACAAATCGGAATTCTAGTGAATATTTTAATTTATAGAAAGTCTACTTACCTTCTTTCAAGGACTATTCAATTCTTTGATGATTTGAGAAAAAATCCAATAAAACTGAACTAAAATGATTCAAAAGTACAAGACCATAATAAAGGACGCAAATCAGACACTTTTCAATTATCCTACAGAAATGTTAAAACAATCAATTCTTTTCCAAATATCGCAAAACTCAATTATTTACAATTTTCTTAAGCGAAAAGCAAACACATGAAAGATGGGAGGGAACTAATATTGATAATAATCATACCATAAGATTGAAGGTCAAATTAACATTCAGATTTTTTATCCAGAAACTGAAATATTTTGACATCTACTAATTTTTAAGAAACATCTGTCTTTTAGGGGATCATAGCCTTTGTTGCTCCATATCCCACAAAACCTGAACTGAACTGAACGTACTATGCAGCCTGGCTGAAAAGTGAATCAGGACTTCTTTTCTTTTTTCTACAACTAATGTACAGTATTTCAATAATAATTGCAGCGGTGAATTGTTTATCTTCTTAGAATTTTCTCAGGGTCTGGGTTTCGTTTTTTCTTTTAACGAGTAATATTTTATGTTAAAACGTAATAAAAAAAAAATCTCTCATGGAGGAAAAACAGCAAATAAAACAAAATGTTTTTTTTTTTTTTCTTTAATTTGGTTTTGGGATCAAAGATAGCTATTTGATGACGGAAAAAGCTAGATAATAAATATAAATTATGCCAGTGTGTTGTTGTGTGTATTTTTTTTTTTATTATGGAAGAAAGCATTTTGTTTTACTTCTCTTTCCGGTTATTTTTTTTTTTAAAATCTTTAAATTTTCGATACGCTCGCGCCCCCTTGTAGGGTCATCGTGCCCCCAGGGGGCGCGCCCCACACTTTGAGAAACACTGACTTACAGACCTATTTATTGATATACTTTCGAACTTTTTCTTATAAAGAGTGTTTTTTTCCAGGTATAGAAGTTTAAGTTGGCATTACTTTCCAAGATGGCGACCGATTTAACAGCTGTCAAGTGATTTATTCTCAATTTGGTTTGGCAATTCATCAAAACGATCATCAAGCAAGGCGTAGATTCGTCGAATGGGCCCAAAACGAGATTGCCGTTGTTCCCGATTTTCATAAGCGAATTTTGTTTAGCGATGAAGCGCACTTCTGGTTGAATGGCTACGCCAACAAACAAAACTGCCGCATTTGGAGTGAAGCTAATCCACAAGTGTATGTCGAAACACCGTTACATCCAGAAAAACTGACTGTTTGGTGCGCTTTATGGGCTGGTGGAATCCTTCTTCAAAAACGATGAAGGCCACAACGTTACAGTCAATGATGATCGGTTGACTAACTTTTTCATTCCTGAATTGAACAATCATGATGTGCAGGAGCTGTGGTTCCAACAAGACGGCGCAACATGTCACACAGCTCGTGCCACAATCGATTTATTGAAAGACACGTTTGGTGACCGCCTAATTTCACGTTTTGGACCTGTGAATTGGCCTCCAAGATCTTGTGATTTAACACCGCTAGACTATTTTCTGTGGGGCTATGTAAAGTCATTGGTCTATGCGGATAAGCCACAAACGCTTGACCATTTGGAAGACAACATTCGCCGTGTTATTGCCGATATACGGCAACAAATGTTGGAAAAAGTCATCGAAAATTGGACGTCCAGATTGGACTACATCCAAGCCAGCCATGGCAGTCATATGCCAGAAATCATATTTAAAATGTAATGCCACAAGATTATCGTTCGAATAAAAAAATATTCATGTCAATCGAATAATACATCGTTGTTTTATTGCAATTTAAAGTTCTATACCTCTAAAAAAACACCCTTTACCATATCATTTTCCCTTTCTTCAAGTGTATTCAGTTCAAATTTGAAATTTTTCTGGTCAGTAGTTCTTTTTTACAGCCTTTTGAAAGTGAAACATTAATTATAATCAATGTGAATAATTTTTGATATCTAGCCTGTGATAAGTGGATTGAAATGAAGCTTAAATAAAAAGATAAGCATTTTTGATGTATTCATTGTTGTATTGCCTTAGTTTAGATTTTAACAGAAATACCTCCAAATAAATATCTTATGGCAATTTTGCATCAAACAAATTTTCGAACCTAATGCAAAAGAACACGATACTTATATCTACCAATTTTCAAAATAAATTTAGCGAATCAAGCGTACTGAGAGTGTTTTATATGGCGGTAAACTGCCAAAATTTATTTCGATCTTATTTAGCTATTCTGCCTATTTTATTGCAATATCGTTACTGTACAATACATTTGTTGAAGGTTAGTAATATGTTAATTTGGCTTTTCAATTTTAATAAAAAATTGTACTTTCAAAAATTTAAGATGGAAAGGTTTTTTAATTCAAATAATTACCCGTGATTTAAGATTTGATGTAATTATTGGTATCGGACTATTTACAAAGTTTAAATAAATTTAAAATTTTAAAACTTCAAAACGTTTGAAGGTTATAATTGTTGTATTTATTTATTTAGAATAAACTTTTAAAAAAACCGTTATCTTAAAAAAATTGTAAAATAATTCAAGCATAATTTCGATAATCTAAAAATTCCTAATGTAGCTCAAATGAACAATTATAGGCTTTTTTCAATTCCTACTATAAGTTCACTCACTCCCTATATATATATATATGTATATATATATATATATATATATATATATATATATATATATATATATATATATATATATATATATATATATATATATAAAATTCAAATTTTCAATCGTTAATAAAATACCTTTTATTGACCCATTCAAGTTCAAATACATTTTTTAAAGCAATGGATGACACTTGATATTAATGCAGTTTCAAATATCAATTATTTAATTAAATTAAAAAATAAATAAATGGTAACAGACAAAATTAATAGTTTGACTGTAAAAATAGAAAGGAATATCATTCGTTGCGTCCCTGTAGCCCAATGGATAGTGCATTGGACTTCTAATTCAAAGATCATGGGCTCGAGTCCCATCAGGGATGGCCTAATTTCTGAGAATGTGATTTTTTTTTACTGTAATATTTTATAAGAATAACTAAATTTAATTCATTAATACACAGTAACAAACAGAAAATAGTTCAACACCCTATACTAAAAGGAAATGGAAAATTGCAAGGAAAATCGCTTTCTATTTCGTCGCTTAATATTGAGATTATGTCGTATGTATGTACAAATCTATATTTATTGTAACTATTTAATAAATAGTCACTAAAATAAAAATTTTCTTCGTTGACCTAAGTAGGATTTGACTTAAATGTTTTTATAATTCTTGTTTTTACTGTGGGAATTATTACAAAAAAGATTAGCTATATCTTTCCCTCCTTCTTCAAATGCATTTTATTACAATGTTCTAAAAATTCAACAGCCTAAATTTGTAAAGTATAATAAATAGTCCATAAAATTAACATTATGTTCGAAATTTCACGACGGCACTTAGACAGGAATATTTTAAACTAAATAAAAAACTAACTGCTAAGTTATAAACTAAGTGAAAAATTCATGAATACGCATTTTAAAATTTTTTTCGATAAAGGTTTTTTTTCTGTCCTTAATTACTTCGAGGTTTTTTATCTTTAGTATTATGTAAATGTCTAAGGATTTGAGAAATACTTTTCCTCCATAAATAGTCTTTACAAAATAAAAAGAAAATAATCTAAAAGTTAAAAACTTCTTGTACTTCGTGAAAAATTATGAAATTCTTACGCAGTCGTTTGCAACTGCAGAAAAAAACGATTCTTAAAACTCTAAATAATTGTACATACATTAAGTAAGAGTTTTGTCAAACTTCTTACTTTTCAAGCAAAAATACAGAAAACAACTATCGCATAAAATAAGACAATTTTTTTTTCAAATAAAAATTTAATATATCTGAATTATTTTATTCATGAACTCTTCTTATAAATCCTTATAAAATTGCATTTAGAAGAAGCAGATTTAAGTTTACTTGAAACTGATCTTATTTTTACGGTATTTTTAATGATATTTATAAAATTTACAAGGCACATTAATCAAAGTCTTCTCAGATAAGGGTTTTCAAAGCAGGTTACAAACTATATATTTTGTGCAATTTTATTTAAGGGTGCCATTTACTTCTTATTGGATATTGGTATTTGTCTGAGATACAAAATACGAAATGTCTAATGTTTTACAGGAATAAAAACAGGCCTAAGAAATGAACTAAAAACATTTCCTTATTTTTGAAACATTTATGCTTTTTTAGATTTAAATAAAACAAAATATTTAACTAAACACATTTTAATTCATAATCAAGTGTACTTTTAAATGCGATAGTTATAAATGTCTGTGCTATCGAGGCATACAAAGAATTTACAATAAATAAATAAATTGATTAATATGTAAGTCTTAAAATGTTTCAACAGTATTGAAACAGACGAAATTTTCAAACATCCTTTGGAATTGAAAACAACCGTTTAATTTTAACAAAATGTTTTTCTTACACATATCTCTCTGATGACTAAATAAAACTAAAAAATCTCAAAGTTAATTCAAATCAATGTTAAATAATTATAAAATTATGCAACACTTGTGCACTAACGATGAATAGAAAAGTATCAAAAAAGTATTGGGACATTGTAAAAACAGTACTAAAAATAGTGTTACCTAGCACATTAAGTGCCTAAAAATATGTCTACATTTATTTGCTCAATATGAAGGTCTAAGTTTGATGTACTTGGATAACATGGATCAAAAAATTTCAAAAACTTCTGTTAAGATGAAAAAACTGAATTGAGATTATGGAAAAATTTGTGGAATATCAGGTAAATATTGAATGTAAATAAATTCACAGTTCATAACAATACTTTGAAACAAAAAAGCAAATTAAATGGAAAATGCGCCATGTGTAGGATGACCAAGGCATTTCACTAAATAAAAAGCGATAAATAGGCTTAATTCAGGTGAAACCATAGTCACATGATAAATGCCATCACGTGTTTTCCAGCCAATCAGTAGTTGCACCTCGCTGTTGTGACCACATTTGGGTTCTTACAGAAACCTTCTAAAAAGTTAATATCTGTTAACAATCATAACAGAAATATTTAAACAAAATTTATTTGATTTTAAAGTAATGTGGAACTTGTTCTATTTTAAGAATTCTCCATGATATTTTTTTGTACACATCTTTACCCAATTACCAAACCTGAAATTGTATCCGGATTTCACAAATACATCAACAAATGCAAATCTAATGCAAGCCTTGAATTCAACAGGAAACACATGATTACATTTATCACATGACAGTCATGAATTTAATTCATTTTAAGGAATATTATTTGCAATTTTCAAACCAGTACAGTAAAACTGACATCAAAAGTGTTTGCCAGAGGTCTTGAAACACAGCCGATGCAGAAACTGTAAGAACTATTCTAAAGCATTGCAGTTCGAGTAGCTAGGGGAAAGGGCATATGCAGAAGTAAAACAAATAATAAAATTCGACTACAATCCGCCAAAACTTGCATTCAAAAGTTTTCAGAATTCTGTAAATAGGTAGTTTGTAGATGAGAGAGCAAGTACAAGATTTTCTAAAGTAATGAAAATCAAATGATGTGGGGGAAGTCTAAAATTTGAATTGAGATTTAAGAATTTTACTTTTTTGTAGCCAAGTGATTTGGGCATGGACGAGAACTAATTGGGTTGAAAATCCTTCATTTAATTGATAAAAAACGCATAAATTTGTTTATTTAAATAATCTGAAGCAACATTTGAAATAAAACACTGAAAATATATTATAAAATTTCAAACTACCTCAGGGGGGATAAGGATCTAAGTGCTCATATTTTCATACTTATATAGCGTACTCATATTTACATACTTTGTATGCTCGTATTTGCATATTTTGCATTCTCATATTTGCATACGTTGGACTTGAATATTTGTCCATATGTATATTTATATAATAAAAGCAACTGCACAATCTTCAGATCTCAATCTTGTCGATCATTATTTGGGACCATTCGAAAAATAAAATCCATCACTTTCTAATCTTAGATTTATAGTTATGTCCGCAAAACTATAGTTTAAATAATTGAATAAAATTGAACAGGAATAAGTTATATAAATTAATATATGAAATTAAATTCAAAGTACATTTCAAAACAGCAAACAAGTAGGACCATTTAATACTTTGAAATGAAAAGAAAAATTTGCTAAGATGAACTCATTAGTCTCAAGTTGACCTATCTGAGTTTGAATTAGTACAAGTTCAATTAATTTCAATTAAAAATAAGATACTAACAATATATATCGAATAATGAATAATTTTATCTAATTCAAAATAACTTAGTGAGCGAATTGATATTAAATTTAACTAAAATAAGTTGCTGATTGTCATCATAGAATTTTTTTTTGTAAAACAAGATGAATACTTCATTATTTACATATTAATTTGAATATTTCTACGAAATAAAGCAAATTATGCTTTATATTCTGGGCCTTTTTTATATCAACACAGCTTTTTATATGATGCTATTTTCCTTCATATACCTGACCATTCACCATAAATAATGACAGCATTTAAAAACTGTGTTCATGTCAATATTTCATAAAACTCCTTTCCAAAATATTTCTTAATTGGAATTCCTTTGAAATAATACAGAAAATCAAAATTTAAAAAAAGATGCATTTCCTTGCGGGAAGAAATTGAGAGAATCTACTTACATATTTAAATAAACAGATAAAAAGATGGTTTGAGTATCAAAATAAAAGCTCATTGATATACTTCATGGTTTATATTTAAAAGATCCAAAAATGCAAAGTAATAAGCTTGTCGCTTTTTAAATCATTTCTGCCAAGTGCTTTTGCGTTATCGTTCCATTTAATGAGAATCTTTTTTTTTCTGTAAACGGAACATCTAAACTTGGTGCACAAAATGACATTTGAATTTGTAAAGTTTTTTCAAAAGATAATCAAAAAAAGAAAACAGTCTCTAAAGCTATTTTTGTCCGAGGACTATATTAATCTGAACTCTTTTAGCATAAATTTTTCCACGTACATTTCGAAGGTATGCTTCGGGATGGAAAGGTTGTTAAATCGTGATTCGCAACGTGTGATGACGTCATTGTTTCCAGGGTAACAGTGGCGGATTGAGCGGTTAGATCTTCTAGAAAGCATGGTCTGGAAATGCCATAATTGGCGAGAAATCGCTAGCCAATGGGGAAGAAATAAATAGTTTATTGAAAAGGTAGAGAATTCGAGACTGGAAAATCACGTGACTTTTGAATCTGTCAAGATATTCCGGGTGTTTATTTATTCGAATCAAAGAATTTCCTTTCAACTTGGAACTTTAATATGAGTACCGAATTCTGTAAAATTATTCGGCCGTATTACTTTAGAATTTAATAACTTCTAATATTTAGTTACCTTTAAAATATTTGAAAATTCAGATGTTTGTTTTCGAATTCCTGGAATTTTTTAAAACTGTTTCAAATTTACATTTGAAAGAAATCAACTTTTACAATTTTTCTTGAAACTAACATTTAGCTTATGGAAAATTATTTCTTTTTAAAGTTATTGAATCTTTTTGGGAAAATACCCTTGTACTTAACATACATACACATCTACACCTTATATATGCTTTTATGTATATGTAAAACATTTTAGTGAGTAATATGCGTATACCAATAATCGTTTGCGCATTTGTTGCTTATTTGCATAGCTAATAATAAAGCTTTGTAGAATAAAGTAAGCTTTAAAGAATAAAACCAAAATTATTTATTGTTGGAATGAGAAAAAAAACGTTTTGTGTCTTATTTCATTATATAGCTAATAAAAAAATCTTATGTAACTTGCAAAAACAAATAATTCAAATTTATTTGATGCTGCATGTTTTTTTTCAGCAAAATAAAAAATTACAGAAGTAACAGAATTATGGCTTAAATATTTTTTCAAATACTTTCATGGAAGTATTCTATAAAATGTGAAAATATTTCTTTCATCAATTTTGTATCAGTATAAGAAATGTATA